AGTAGTAGTAGTAGTAGTAAAACTATTAGAAGTAGATGTAAAAGTATGCACCTGTGGAAATCTGCCAAAAGCACCGGGACCACGACGCGGCAGACCCTAGAAGACGAAGAAGTAATAGAAGTAATAGACGTAGTAGAAGTAGATGTAGAAGTAGAAGCAAACGTAGCGGCCCTGATAGTTGGACGAATCTGTGGCATCAAGAAGACAAAGTTCCGAAAGGAGCCACGCGCCAGACAATGACTCACGCCGCAAAAAACTTTGTGGATACGGCGCTATGACCAAGCCTGCACAGTTCTCAGCAACAACCTCAATATTCTTCTTGTAATATTGAACTGTCGCTCCATCCCTCGACGCCAACTCAAGGCTTGACCTTTGGAGCCCGCAGCAAATGGAAGCTGCACCAAGGGGAGCCTCCCTGAAACCTCAATTCAATCCCTTCCCGCAGCGCTCCTGCACCTACACATCCAGCCACCTAGAATCTGTCACCTCCACCACTAAACCTCACAATCCAGAGGATCGCCTCCCCAAGGAAGGCCGCCCCTGCCAGCGCAGCCCAGAGCGGTTCAGAGGCCACGATGAGGGAGACCTCGAAGTTTCAGAGTTTTCCGGGTTTAGGGACGTTCTACGGTGGGTTGGGGCTAACTGTTGGGTTCACGGTGCAGATTTGAGTATGAGACTTCATGACGTAGGCAATGGTGATGAGTGAGCATACTTGAGGGCACTTAGTGATCAGGGGCTGGCCTTTCAGAAAGGCCGTGCCTGTGAAAACCTTCTGATGTTACAAAATCTGTGTGAATGTTCAATCCGGCACCTTGCGGCTTTAGTCCCTTACACAAAGCGGGGAATTCAAGGATCCCGGCGTCAGAGGCCTTGAGGCGCTTCATAGCTTCCTGGGCTGCAGGAAAACGTTTCAAGCCATTGAAAATTCTGAGCAGCGTACGATGCATTTGTACCAAGTCGCACCACCGTAGGCAGAACATGGATGGGATGGCGCTGGGTGGAATTAGTTTCCTGCAGGGTTACGTTTACGTTGCGAAGAGCCCTTTGAAAAGTTGGAACAGTATCAGCTTCCGTCGGGCATCGTTGCAAAGCAGCATGGTGACGGTGTTGCCAAAGAAGGCTGAGAACAGGAGCGCAGGCAGAAGGCCTCACAAATTAGAAGCCATGGGATCGTTTTAGGAGAACATCCTAATCAAGGGTTTACCGGCCTGGCGTTTCGAGGAGAGCAGGGAAATGGGCAATGCCCTCTGCGACGCCAGCAGGACCATGGCGCCACAACAGCTCGCCAAAAGACCTGGTCTTGCGATTCCGTAGAATACGACTCCCAAAGAGAACTTCTCTACTTGCAGCTATGGCATTTTCTGTTGTTTACTGCTAGCCCCTGCTGTTCCAATACGTAGATAGGGATCAACCATCTAATTCACAGCTCGGTTACCACACCCCAAAAAGTGTGGCGAAGCAAATGAGCTGGATGGCCACGGTGGGTGTAGCATCGCCTGGGAACTTCTTCATGCTCTCGCCGAGCACATGCCAACTGAGCCCAATGGCAATGGGTGCCGCCATGCACATGAGGTCACCGACGGTCGCTTCCACTGGCCCGGATGAGAACTCAAGCACACCCACTCCGGTCACCGCTAAGACTGCCGAGCAGAAGGTGCCCAGATTCAAGCGCTTGGCCGCCATGGAGCTCAGGGAGGCCACCACCGTGGTCTGCAAGGCTGTGATGAAAGCAGCCTTGGCGCCGGTCGTGCCGTAGGAGAAGGACACAAAGATCGCTGCGTAGGCCACAGCCCCAAAGCTTCCAACCAATGCACTCGTTCGTGCACTCTCAGCTGAGCTGGACTTCAGTAGCCATGGGAGGAGAGGCAAAGCTGCAAGAACAAAACGCAAGGCCCCGAACACCACAGGAGCATCCTCTACCTGAGCAGCTGCGACATACTTCTGACTACTGACCAGGATGCAGAAACAAGAGCTCTGATCGAGCGCTAAAATCTAAGGACCTCCCTTGCGCGTTCGAGCGACGCCAGCGGAGCTGAGTGCATCAATGCCCGCCTGCATGTGCTCAGGCAGTGTCTTCAATGGCTCTGTCAGAGGCCCTCATTCAGATTGATGCTTCGAGGCCTTCGTGGAAATGAAAGATGATCCCCAGCACACCGCATTGAAGAGGGTGATGCCCTTCCAAAAGCTGTTGCCCGGAAGGGCTTCTGCGATGTCCTCGCGGCAGCGCTGCTGCATACTTGCTTGGCGGATGGGCAGACGCATTCAAAAATATCCAGGTAGTGGTAATTGAGATGCCATAGTGATTGTGTGTTGGTAAATCAGATGTTCTTCATGACCATTGGAACTTGAACATCCCAAAGGCCAGCCACAGACGTGAGTTGCCAGCAATGAGCCCCTGTGGGCGATTGTTGTAGAAAGTATACGCTAGTAAAAACCAAGAAAAAGGAGCAACCAGTCGAATAACCAGCCGTCCTTCATGGAATTGGAAGCAGAACCAGTCTCCCGGCGCAGGGCCTAGCAGGATGAAACTGCTTACAGCGCGAGCATGTACAAAAACAACAATCATGATATCAGTGAAATGTAGCGATCACGATGATCATACCACGGGCGACTTAAGCAGCAATAAGTTCCAGTACATATTGACGCGTAAAATGCACATGTATTCCAACAGCACTGAAAGCTAAGGAAGAATACTGATGATGTGATGACAATGCCCTTTCTTGGAAGCATCTCCTATCCTATGAGTGAGGCCTATCCTCAGAGCTTCGGCACTATGCAGTCACATTGATTGGGCGTCTCTACAGTGCGAGGTTGTTGCAAAGCGATGAGCCTTTTGCCGGCTGACAGCCAGACGAGCGTTCTGCCGAGTCCGCTCAGGCGAACCTGAAGCTTTGCTGTACTAGACATTCGGCGTTCTGCTGCATCTGGTGCTTTCGGGGTCTGAGTTCCAAAAGGATTGGCATCTCGATTTGATCCTGCCAGGTATTGCTGGCTTTGCTTAGACAGCCCGAAGCCCACACTGCACAGGTCCAGCTCTATGCCAGCCAGGCACCCGGGACGAAGGCTGTCCTGACTATGAGTCTCCTGGGTTCTGACTTGCGCACTATTTCCGCTAGAGGCTACAGAAACATGGGCACATCACGTGACCTCTTCGACAGGTCACCTGAACAGAGTGTAGCAGTGCAGCTATATCGAGCAAAGCTGCAAACATCAACTGCTTTCGTTCTTTGTGGACAATCTTGCTGTGCCCAGGCTCATGCAACATGCCAGGAGCAAGACTGTCAGCAATGGTGATGGCCTTTTCCAAGTGACGGAGCTCCTACGGTACGCGTGACATGGGCAGCCTCTGACCGCAGCAAAGCGAACCCAAACTAACAAGAATCCGGCACAGGGAAGAAGGCAACATGCGCACGTGTCATTGTAAGCAGCAGGGGCCTTCTCCCTACCTTTCACAAAAGCAGAAATACTTCCTTTGGCGGATACCCCGTAATGCAGTCCATCAGCATCAGACCCTGCTAGCTCTCCTTGGGAGGATCATGGCCAGGGGTGTAGCGGCCATCGTTCGCTCTGCTACACCTTGTGGTGCTCGCGTTCGGTCCAGGCCAAAACGGCTACGATGACAGACAACACCTGCTGTGTCAGAAACATGTCATCTTGTGGAACCATCAAGTTCCTGGTTTGCGTGCAAGAACTCTGCATCAAGTTCATTCAAATGTCTCCTGCGCCGCTTCTACACAGCAGAACCGCAATGCTGTTCTGCAGTTCAATCGTGGAAGGGCCTGCTTCACGTGCTCCCGTTTCCAGTATAACTGCGACTCGTAGCTGAGGTGCCTCGGTGATGCGTGCCCTTTGCTGAGACTAAAAACACAACCGCCGCAGCAGCCCAGCAGCCTCCGAGGCTGCTGCGATGACATCGACAACCTGCGCCTCATCCCCCTCTACGCCTTGCTATATTCCTCGAACTGCTCCTCGTCGTCCCCTGGCCGCCGTTGTCCGTACTAACGCCGACGTAGTAGCCACCACCACCAACAGCGCCACCACCGCCACCACCGGCACCACCACCGCCACCACCACCGGCACCACCACAGCCACCACCGCCCACATCATATCATCGGTTTCGGCATCTTTGCACTTTTTCATTTCCACAGTTGCTCTCGCCCTTTTGCATGCTCTTGGTCACTTGGTTTCTGTCGTTCTAATTGTGATTGAAGCGTTGCTCTCGGTACGGTCCTGCATACCCTCCATCACAAATCCATGCGGTCTCCAAATCATAATTCCGCTCTGAAGTCAAGACAAAAACTTGCAGATAGACTGCCATGCTGCCAGCTGAGGCAGAGACTGATACTGGCAACCACTGCACCGTGTGAAGAGAGGACACCTTCCAAGCTCCAAAAAAGTCACAATCAGATCACAACGGCTTCAGCAAGAAAAGTGCATGTCTCAGGAAATGCTGCTTGGATTGTGTTGGCGCATGGGGTTAGCCGCTTTGCCCAGGCCGGGCGGCGGCAGTGGCGGTGGCGGTGGCGGTGGCGGGAGTGGTAACAGGAGTAGTAGCGAATGCTCTGTCGGCTGACCGATCCTTGCATTATACTAACCACTCCTGTGCTACCCCAATCCCCAAATAAAGGCCACATGACCCAAACTAAGGATTGGCGAGGTGAGTTTTGGGGTGTGGGTGACATTAATTTCCTTCACTACAGAGCCCACCCTTTGTCCGAAGGATGCTTTCTTGGAAGGGTTATGCATGGATGCGCACCTGCCCAATTCAAGCAAAGTCAAGCCTCCCTCTCCCCAGCATTGCTCTTCATATTCTTATTATTACTACAAGAATTTTCTTCACTTTTTGGATACTGTGGGGAGGTCTCATTTCATTTGCTATTGCCACGTCTGTTAGACTTACCAATAGCAATGCAACTTCTACTTCTTCTCCCATTGCTTCTTCTTGTTCTCAGGCTGCTACTAATAACAATAGTAGCAATAATCATACTGTTACTAATGCTGAACTAGTTGCTGATACTACTATTTGTTCAACTACTACTGCTACATGCACACGATGCCTATTTGCTCTTGGCCGCCTTGGTGTCACCCGCTCTGGCGATGCTTCCAGTACTCGGCACAAACGAGCCTGTGGGTAGCCCTGTTTTCTGGCTTGGTGTTGGTGGCCCACATCATAACAGGAGAACTGATTGTTTGTGTGTTTGGGAGGTATATACACAGCTTACAGCTTTCGGGACCTAGGACTGAAGGTCAACCTGATGACTGAGGGCTTCTGGGAGTGTAGCATTTCAGAGTCTAGCCGACAGTGGGTTTGAAGATCTGGAAAACTTTACATCCATTGCTTGAACGCTTTAGCGATCACCCAAGGACACAAGCTACCATTTCAACCTTGAAACTTGAATTGGCGGATTTGGAAACATGTATCAACGCTTGGCTGCCAACGAGCCCCATGTGCCTGCCTCGGATCGGCTGCGGTAGTTGCGCACAATTCGCACCCTGGCCACGCAACATTCGCCCCACATCGACCATCACTCTCAAAATTCTCACAGCCTTGAGTCTGAAACCTGAGGTCCTCAACCTACTTCACCAGGCACTGCATGTCTCAATTTTGCGGAGCTAAAACATGTAGGTAAAAGGACGGCCCCAGAAAGGAGGAGGACTCCCAGACTATACTTGACATATACCAGGTCACTACACAGAAACAGTCACCCCTTTCACTGAGCAATTTCAAATTCTATGTGAAATCGGGCCTAACAGCCGACCCAGAACCATAAAGGTTGTCATGCAGCTGCTCATGAAACAGACATGTTCACGAGCTTTGATGCAGCACTGCTCAGGTAACATCCACCTTGCGGCGTACAAATTGCCAGTGATACTGAACAAGCTCGCGAGGCAGAGCTCCAAATATCATGACCTTGCAATATGAGCTCATATGGTGGTGCTCGCGGTGCCGCTGCTGCGGCTGCTATTGGTGCTGCTGGCACTGCTGTACAATGCCAGTAGGACTCAGTAGGAAGATGAACCATATAATATGAAGCACGCTTAGAATGCTTAGAAGCTAGTACTCGCAATAGCCAAACAGGTGATCGTGACTGTCGCCTTCTTTGATTTGGGAGTGTTTATAAGAACAACGCAATTTTGGAGAGACCCAACAAACAACAGTCTAATTCAGAAACTCTCGCGCACAACTCTCAAATCTCAGCGAACACTGAAAGCCTATAAAAACTGAGCGTCGCTGGCGCACAACTCTGCCGCACACTCATGCAAAGCTCGGAGCACCCTTTTCTTCAACAGACACGCCTATGCTTGCTGGACATTTCTGGGCCCTGGCCACCCATCTCGTTGGTCCCAGACGGCCCAGAGCCTGACGTCGCCCGGGACTCTTTCGATGAATAAAAAGGCTCCGTTGATAATTTGCTAAAGGAAAGAAGGCCATGGGTGATGTAGATTTTAAAATCACACCTCTTCACTCAAGCGTGTGGCATCTTATCATCGCCATCTGTTTTGTGTCTTGTATCCTGTCATTGCAGAAGACACTATTGCATTCATGGCGGCTTGTCTTCGGATTCTTAACGCTCTGATGCTATTGTACTTTCTACACTTCTCATCAACAAACTACCCTTGAGTCAGATTACCTGCAGAAAGCTGATATTGCTCAGGTTTAGGGTTCAAAGTTTTGGTGTTTACATATGAGAGTTTGGAATTGCCCAACACGCTCAGAGCATGGTTGTCCTGCCCAGTGCTGGTGAGGGTCTCTGTGCGCATCTCAAGGACATCGCCTTCCTGCTTTCTTGGACAGCATTTTGGGGCGTGGTGCTTGGGTGTGGGGCTTCAAATCTTGTAGATTGGGTAAGTTAGGGCTCAGCCTGTCTTTTACTTGTGAATCATTTGAAACTCTGATGTCTTGACGCAAGACAGCAATTCTCATGCAGCCTATGTCCTATAACAGCCCTTGACGTGTCTGGGAAGCAGCAACCCTGCGCTGATGGCACAGGGGATGGACACTGAATCCGCGACAGTTAACGCAACCTCGGGTTCCTGCGGTAACTACAACACAGAGACCTGAACCCCATAGCCAACGCTCTGGTAGATCCCGCAAAATCTGCCTGAAGCAGAAAATATGACAACAAGTGTTCGGTAGAAATTCAGTAGAAACATCTTACGGAACCGCCTAAACTCGTTCTTCTTAGTGAGAACCCCGGTGCCTTAACCGGCGGGCCGTTGGAGGAAGCTGCCCGGCGAGACCTTCTTCTCATCAGCACTCGATGGCTGAAATGTCAACAATCCTTGCTAGTTGATTAGGGGTTTAGGGGTTTAGGGGTTTAGGGGTTTAGGGGTTCACGGGTGGCAGTATGGAATGAAAGAATGGAGAAGGAAAGGGAAACTACTACCTTGCTAAGAGCCTGGTATGAACATCTTCTGCGTTCCAGTCCTTCCTATCCATATTTTTCAATGTGAGCTGTGTAGTCGCCTTAGATCTATAATGTCTATAATGAAAAATGTTGCTAATGATTCCTTAGGGATATACTGTAATCAAATTCAAAATAACTCCTTAGGAGACTACAGACTACTATATGATGATGAGCCGTCGAATTGGACTTAAAGGCGGGGATGTACTGGTGAAGCTTCGGCCTTGCAGCTCAAAGCTCACCCAAGGAGCTTAGAGGGGAGAAGCTGTGAACATGGCCCATGGCCCTTAAGGGTACGCACATATATCTCTAGATATATATGTATATGATATGTGTGTATATATATATATGTTGTGATAGCATGTGTGTGTATACTAGGTATATAAGGGCCCCCTTGCAACAGACCTGGCTTGCTAAGCAGCAGCTCTGGCATTCCAACCTCACCGGGGGCGCTGACGGCGTGCCGATGGCAAAGCCTCCATGCTCCAGGAAGCCAGCAAAAGGATGGGAAAATGGTCAGGATGATACTTGCCAATACATGACCAATCGATCTCCTCCAGCAGCGAACAGCACACTCCACAAGAACTGCGAAGCAAGCTTTTTTGAGGGGAGGTCAACACTGGGCGGAAAATGGAGGCGTGCAATGAAGCAAAAGCAGGGAAGTGACAGGTCTTCAACCCTTCTCCTTTTACAACACACCCCGTCCAACCCAACGATAGAGGGAGGTGCTTGATACAATTGTCCTGTACTAAATATGGTATTGATTCTGTCTCTCTTCGGGCGGAGGTGAGGCTTAAGCATTGTTCGGCTGCTGGAAGCCCTACAATTGATATGCACCTCAAAGAAAGACGTCAACAAGGCTAGCCGTGTCAAGCGCCAGCGAATCGCACCGCAGTAGAATTCATGTCGGACACTACGCCTGACTTGCGAATGACCTCCATCACTTCTCTTTCCGTTGCCCCAAGACCGGGCAAACCACAGAGCTCCCTAAAATCCAGATTGGACCCCTCTACTTCCCCATGTGCTTTGATCCCTACCTTTCCTGCGATAATCCTTGCAGTCTCGAATGTAGTCGCTGTAACCGAGCGCCAAAAGCCTCCCAAATCTCGAAACTCTAAACCGGGCACCCTGAATCCCTACCTCCTGCACCTGAAACCCCTAAGCCCAAAAGGCTAATTCCAGCTTCATCCTAACCTTCAGCTTCTAAACCAAACCAAGCCTGCCAGAGGGCGGCCCGCCAAGGCGAAAGGAAAGGAGCTCCTGTGGGGGAAGGATTACGGTGAAGGGATTATATTGGGATAATGGAAAAGAAAACGGAAACTAAAATAGTCGAGTTTAGGGTTTGGTTTAAAGGTTTAGAGATTAGGAGGCATTCCACTTGCGGCATATTGTTAAGACCTTGGCGTGTAGGGCTTTCAAAGATCAGATTTGTAGATTCTAGATTGAGTGCACCACCATTCAACAGTCTGTGCTCTGCAGATTGTGAGTGCTTTGGTGGCAAAGTTCTGATGTCAACAACCGTTCCACTTTCAATCCACCTGACTGCCTTAAAACAGAACAACTCTTGCACCAAAACACCGAAGTTCACTCAGACTTTGCGCCTACATCCAAGAATTAATTCCTTGAGCGTGTTTCCCTGTTCCTTTGGAACGAGACACAAGTGCTAACTAAGAGTTGCACTGAATCGCCATCAGACAGGTCATATTCCGAAACAAACCTGCCCTTACCTACCTCAGAAATCAAACTACTCTTTGCTGGCCTCTGCGCCATGGCATCCCGAAAGCAGGGCCGGATGGAGGTGCGTGGCCCTTGAAAAGCTGTTGAGATGATCATGCCAATGCTCTTCTGAAGGATTTTGCCTGAGTCTTGTTGACAGCAGGCATATGGAGATGTTGTCGGGACTTGTGAAGGCCACTTAATTTTGGCCATGACCGGCTACACCAGACTTCCGACAAGGTTTCATCTGATTCCATGACAGCGCATGAGATCGCCTTAGCCCGACCACTGTGTGAACGTTTGAGTTAGATGTTCAGCTCACAGATGCTGGCTCCAGAGCCAGTCTTCCGTGTCACGCGCATTGTGGCTGAGGAATCATAGCTAGGCCAGCATGAACATTCTCTGCTGAAAGAACAGTCGAAGCATGGATAATCTCAATTCAAGCTTCTGCCAAATGCAATGATGCAATGACCTGCCTGCTGGTGGCTCTGTTGACCGTTATATTGGGACAATGGAAAATAAAATGGAAGCTCAAGCAAGATCCTTCATTGATTTTTTGAACCCGCGCGGCAGGAGCGCAAAGGCTGCCTGCGAGGCAAAGCTTGCTTCTCAGAGGCACTGACCAATCTTTCAAGGTGGTTCCTACTCTGAAAGTCATAAGCATTGCAAGTCTTGCCACCGAACACAATAAAAAGAAACGGCTCTCAAAACAACATCTTGTTCTCTTTTTCTCATGACCCTACCTGGTCCGCTAGTGAGAATTGGATTCAGAAGCCCGCTCGGATTGCCCGGAACCCGTGCTGATCATATACTCCAGCATTGAAGCTGCCCCACCACCAGCCGTCCTTGTGCATCGTGCCAGGCAAGGTCCCTAATTGCAGGCTTCCTCCTCTTAAGACACCCCCAAACGGTGAATCCTGACCAATGAGGCTAAAAAGCCGAAAAGACGGCCTTTGATTTGAAGAAGTTCGACGGAAGCACTACGGATGTCGTCCTTTGATATCATTATCAAACTCTTTATATATCCCCTGAGAAAAAGCCTCATTCTAGAGGACACAGATTTTGGAGTTCCTTGTATGATCCTTGTAACGTTCTTAGGGAATCCCTGGAAGTCCGTTGAACGCCCTAAGCGCATCAAAAAGTCCATCCTTCATCACGCCGCCCGCAAGACTATGTACAGGCATCATAGGATCTCAATTACGATGGCATAAAACCCTAAATGTTCACAGTATGTTACGTCATATACACATCTTCCAAGACTAACGGAGAAGTGCCTCATCTTCTGCGAGCTGCCGGCCTCACCGCTCAAGTGCAGCTTCCATCTTCTCTTAATGGAGCAATGGCTTCGTTTTGGGGTTTCCGTTGGGTGTTGGGTTTGAGCAAGTCTAATGGTCCTGGAAAAGTCTCAAGCCTTGGATTGTGGATATTCATGGTAGGGACATCACTGTTAAATGTTCTAGCAAGCAGCAGCAGAAGCAGCAAAAGCAGCAGCAGCAGCGGCAGCAGCAGCAGCAGCAGCGGCAGTAGCAGACGGCTGAAAAATGGCTGCATAACTGCATAACGACTATGAAACAACATTCTCAGGAATGACCTTACAGTACAGGCGATATGCTTGAGAAACATACTGCAAGACACGTCCACATGATGCGCCTCTTCCGGACAGCAGATGCTGACGTCCTCTCACCTGGCGAAGGCTCTTTTCAAGCAACAGCATATCACGACCTGCGAACGAAAAGTCACAAACCCTACGCCCCACTACATAGGATCCGAACTGTTGGTCATCGGAGTTGAGGTTGCACCTGGAGGTTCAGCTGCTCAGCATACCTGTAAACCCAGTAGAGCTCCCCGTGCAAGCCTCGCGAAACCTAAACCCTGAAAGCCCCACCGAAGCCCAAACCTCAAACTCGCAGACCCATGGACCGAAAATTGAATCTTTAAAGCTCTGAGCCTAAAAAGCTTGGAACTCTGAACTCTATTTATACATGTGCCTTGCATCAATCTACATCGTCACCACAAGGCCCTACAAATCACTTATATACAAGCCCCCATGGTCTACCCTGTGGGCGGCTGTGGTTGGGAGGCTGGGGCGAACGTTGGGGGTGGCCCTTGCATGGCCTGTGGGGCCGCAGAAGTGCCCTCTCATCTGAGCCGTATAAATGGACGTACGTCCCGCGTGCACGGTCGCCGAGCTACCGGCGCAAGCGGACCTCCACGCTGAGGAGTATGAACGCAATAGTGCATCAGCTGCATCAGGCAGCTCCGGATTGAAACGTCCATGCGAGACCCTTGTGCGTGGACGTCTCGTCCTGGAGCCGCATGCGCACAAGTTGTTGATCCGCTGGATGGGATGAAGAGACATGGCTTAAGGTCTTCCCCTGCCTCCTGTGGGTGCAGGTATGTACACATCGAGGAATTACATAGGCCATTTGCAAGTTTATATGGTATGAGGATGCGAGAAGATATTTACATGGATGAGAAAAAACTATCTACAGATGTATAGATATTAATGATATAAAGATGGATCATCATTATGTTTAGAAAGCTATTCATCACTGAGTATTTGGAACGGTCAAATGCTAAACTGGCGCATCCCTGCAACTGTCGGCATATTTGGAATCTTACAGAATCTTGTACGCGGAGTCAGACTCCAAACTGACAACAGTCGCAAAGATGGCGCCTTGCATACACTCAAGTCCTGTGACTGTTGACACTTTTGAGATTGTGGAGAGTTAACAACACGTCAGTTAGGGAGATTCCGCGCGTTCATGGCACCCACCCTCCCAGACCATACCATGTGGAAGTGGGGGGGCCATGAACGCCAGACGCGCGATCATTTTTTCACCCCACCCATCACTCCCCATGTTGTGCTGGGCTACAGGCGTTGCTTTGCCGCTGCGCAGCGAACCTGAAGCGATGGGACCTGGGACCAAGAAACCTTGTGCTCCAGTTCAAAGCCCATGATCCCTCTCCAAGGGGTCCTGATTGCAATAAAGGGCTACATGGTTTCTGACTTGTTCGACGCACTTCTGAGATGCCGGTAATCTTGCTTCAAGGGCACGGATCTTGATTGCAACCTTTCCGTGTGCTTGGATGTTCACCCCAGGTGCAAGTGCTTTTTTGCCGTGGTCTCGTAGACGTTTAGTCCTACCATCATGTAATTCAACCTGCAAGCGGCTACTCACCTGAAAGCTGACCGAGACGGCATCAAGGTATAAGTGGTGCATTGCAGGCATGTAAGCAGCTTGTCAACCGTGTCTTCTTGTCTTGTCCCAGAATGCTTTGAAACGGTTCCTTCTGTAACAACACATCCCGAAGAAGACGCCCTGACTGATGCATCAATGACCTTGAATGATAAGGCAGTGGCAAAAGCGGATGTCCGCCCTCCCGAAGTCACAAACCTGTGCTTACATGGCTGCGTAGCAAGCGTCGGCCGACTGCACACTTTAGCGTGAGTATCCTCAGTTGTAGACAGTCTGTGTCCCGATCCAACAGGCCACTTCATTGTGGGATCTTCTCACACAGCTTAATTCTGCAGTTCAGAGACTGACTGCCTGGTGGGTCCTAAGCCTTGATACGGAGACTGCTGGTATGGTTTGTCACCCTGACGGCACAACCTCATGTGACAGAATTCATTTTCTTGTCTAAAGCAAAAATGCAAAGCAACAAAAACAAATTCTGGATCCAGAGCATGATGCAACAAACCAAAAACACATCTGAGAGCCCGGCTTGATGGTCCTGCCCTTGCCGTCACAGGCTTTTCCGGAGCCCTTTGCCTCAAGAGAGCAGCAGCTCCGCTTCCATGGATCCATCCCTTGCCTGTTGGTAGGAGAAGCCCCAGAGATGGGTGAGCACACTATCCTCTTTTGCATCATAGCGTGCTGAGAGCCGCACCCAGCGATAGTGGAAGAGCCAAGTCCTGTTGGCACCAGGCCGCACATATGCAGATTTTGAAAGCTGGGCCCTCCATTACATGAAAAAATCCAAAGTGCCTTTTGAGGGAGACCTACAAGGAACTGACATACATGGTTGGGAAGGAAGGGGAAACAGCACTAGAAGTAGCGATTGCACCTATTGCACCCCGAAGAAATCAACTTCAGCAGATCTTAGCAGTCTTAGCACTGCCAGGCAAGGCTCGTGACCTCACAGGAAAGACTTCGGGGTTCTAAATAAACCGTCGAGTTTCCAAGACAGCTTGATTGATCTTTGTCACACTCATCCTGCTGTTAGGGTATCATGCCACAGGGTCATGTCGACTACCGTTCTTACGCCATGATCTTCGTCACATGGCTGTCTGAGCAAAGGGACGCTTTTAGAGTCACAAGGTCTGGGATTGTATACCAGGGCAGATATGGGGACAAGACGTTCTCTACAGCCCCGGAGCCTCGGGTACTTGCCGGCATCAGCTCCAACTTTGCAAGCCGTCTGGATCACACTACGAAGGCTGCGATGAAGCTTGGCAACCTAGGAGCAGAGCGACTCCACAATGCTGGCCTGAACTCTGAACACTCACACGCCAATGTCTGCAATAGGATTCCCCTCCATAAGCGGATCAATTAGGTCAGACGCGTGGCTTTGCGGATTCTTTGCTTGCTCATCAGCTGCTGATGCGTCCAAGCTAATGCACAGAGAGAAGCCCAGAACCCAACTCACAACCAAGGAGGCAGCTGCAGCCGGTGTCAAGTTTGAACAGCTTTCCTGCTCAGGGATCGAACGCCAAGATGTTCTCTACGGTGCTGCGTGCAGAGATGTGAAAGATGTGAGCTTAGTTCGGCATTCTTGCACTGGTTTGCTGGCAGCACGATACCAAATCCCTCGGACCTGCGGATGAATCGCAGCTTGGTACAACCTCGGCATGACCCAGCAAAAAGAAAGCATCTGTCTGTGATCTGTGCCGTACCAGAGGTAAAGCAGTCATGTTACGTGTTCAAGGAGATAATCAGCCTCCCTACATTTGTGCAGTCCTGCGTCCTGCATCAAAGACTTGGCTTGCGGCACCTCATCGGCTACCCAGTTGCCAACCTTCAGTTCGAGAAGCGCAGGACGCTACAAGCCCAAGCCCTTGCAAAGTTGCAAAGCAGGAAGTGGCAAGTAGTAGATGGTAAGCCGTCAGTGGAACCAGTGCATTCCTCCAAGCTGCTCTACACCTACCATATGCTCTAGTCCAGGGTCGCTGCTTACATCCACGCAAGGATTCAAGCTCTTTGCACAGAGCCCCCGGAAGCAGATTGATTTGAGAATTCCTTCACCCACTGAGAGCCGCCCTGAAGAAAAACGCTATCTCTCCTCATAGTATCTTCCCTTCTCCCAACCCTTCGGCTCAGAGTAAAAACGTTTCAAAGGAAACCATACGAAACCCCTGTCTACTTCCACCCTGTCTACTTCCTTCACAACTTCTATCTGAAGTCTAGACCCAACCTCTGATCTAGCCTTCAAAAACAAGAGCCCTCGGAAAACCCTCAACCCTACAGCCTTGACGGTAAGGACTCCTTATGTCTGGAACCGAAATATCTCTCTGAGCTCTCTGAGCCCAACACTCCTGCGGCAAAGCCCTGGTCAAGCAGAACTGCCTGGAGGGATGCTCTTTCTCCAGTATTTTGGCTGTATTGGGATAATGGAAAAGAAAATGGAAACAACTATAATGGGGTTTATATAGGGGTAATATTGGGATAATGGAAAAGAAAATGGAAACAACTATAGTGGGGTTTATATAGGGGTAATATTGGGATAATGGAAAAGAGAATGGAAACAACTATAATGGGGTTTATATAGGGGTAATATTGGGATAATGGAAAAGAAAATGGAAACAACTATAATGGGGTTTATATAGGGGTTATACTGGGATAATGGAAAAGAAAATGGAAACTACTAGCAGGGACCTTACTTTTTGGACCATGACTGTGTAGTAGCCGCGTCTGAGAGGCGCCCAAAACAGGAATTGGATGTTCGCAAGACAACAGCCCCTCTCAAACACAACGAAAGTCATAAAACAGCACATCTGTTTCCAGGGTATGGGCCTTGATTGCAGGGATGAGATTTCATGCATCGGAAAAGTCCAGTCTCTACACAGCAAGGGATATTCAGGGGCTCAGGGCTTTAGACGTCAGATCAAAGGAACGCGAAGCATAACAGTGGGCAGCCTCCATGCCTGAAACCCAACCCCTGGCAACTTCATCCGGATAATATGGAGGTTTCCGTACCATTTTGGGGGTCCCCAAAAAAAGTTTTATAGTAGTATTTTTGGGTTCCTATTTGGGTCGCCCTATTTACGGAAACTACTACATATATCCTGATACATTCAGTCGGATTCTTACAATTCAAAAGCTCTCATCCCAAGCCTTACCTGGCCTTTGGCTAGCTAGGAATTCAGGAGTTGATCCTTATAGTAGTCCCTATATAACCCATTGTAGGTTATAACCGGTTAAATAGGAACTGGTATAAGGATCCATTCAATTATGGTAGTTTCCATTTTCTTTTCCATTCCTCCATGCCCAGCTAACCAAAGGCCGATTACCCCAGGTCCTTGATGTCAGTACTTCTGGACCCGAGCTGCTCAGCGAAGTCCGACAGCTTTGGCCTTGCTGTTCTGTTTTCCATGCGTCGCGATTTGGGATGCATGAAAAATGAGTGACGCCTCATGAGCGGTCCTCAGATGAGCTATAGTCTAAACTTTTCAGGGGGGGTTATATAGGGGATAATATAGAGGACTACTATAGGGCTGATTAAGGGGGATAATAGGAGTTTAGACTATAGCTCAAATATCAAGCCCTTTTCGAGATTTATCTCTGAAGTCTCCTGGTTGTTCGGTACTGCATCAAAAGCAGAGAAACATAAAGGAACCATTTGAACTTCAAATCTGTCTGTGCGCAAATGTGTCCACATTTCTTGTTACATCATGATGGTGAGGAAGAAGAGACCACCCAAAGGTCAATAAATCGGGTGGAGACCACCTCAAATAATTCAAGCAAACCACAGCATGAGACGCCATGCCACGGATGAAAAACATCAGCATCAAGATAGCAAATCGAAGGCCACAGCAATTAACTCCAGGCAGAGTTCAGCTTGAAGATAGGCACTCCAAGCATCCGAATTCTACACATGCCCACAGGAAGGATGAGCATGTCACTGGCAGAACATGGACAACATGCACTGAAAAAATCACTACCGACGTTGTCAAACTCAAGAACACTACAGACACAAGAAGTAACCATACAAAAACAGACTGTGAAACGTCGTGGAAGAATGGAGTGGGAGTCTGATCACGTCGCCAGCCCACCAAGCCCGGCGCATAGCGAGCAGAGGATCGAAACCTCAGGGCCAGATGGCTTGGCATTATGAGCATGATTGCATGATTGCTTGGTTGCAAGAACAGAAGCAGAAAACATGACGCACATCAACAGACTTGTTGATGAATGTTGGCAAGGGCATAGTGGATATTGCTTGGATGGGTGCAGCAGCTCCTCCAAACACAACATACTGCTAGAAGCAAATGTTCAGTGCATCAGATGAGGAATCCATGAACATGCGCTAAGCCCTCTGGCCCATGTGACACACTGGCGGCGACTCCCAGGGATCCTTGCAAAGCCTGCAAAGGCAGCTCTTGTTTCTAGAAGCTTCTCATCTTGTTCAGGGGCCGAGCTTGGCCTGATCATCTCGGCCGTACTAACTGCCGCAGCAGATGTTGGAATGACAGTAGCAATGGCAGTAGCAGAAGGAAGGAGTAGTAGTAGTAGTAGTAGTAGTTATAGTAGTAGTAGTAGTAGTAGTAGTTATAGTAGTAGTGGTAGTAGTAGTAGTAGTAGGAGTGGTATTCGTGGTAGCGACAGTGCCAGGAATGGAATCCTAGTGACAATGCCAATAGTGGTAACAGCGGCATGTCGCCGCGGAGAGTCTGTGCGTTGAATCGCTTGATGACTAATCTCACCTCAATTCATAGCAAGGCTAGACCGGCATCAAAATGCCTGATCCGACCGAATCGACGCGCATCGGTCATCGCAAAGCATGTACCATCTGACATGCGTATGGTCACCTGGCCACGTCTTGAACTGAAGGCAATCTCCGCATGCAGAGAACTGTGCAAAATTTTCAAGACACCCTCATCAGTGAAACTTCAAGGCAAGAGTCCGTCTTGCAAGTAAACTCAACTTTGCCACCTGCAAATCTAGTTCAACAGTTTCGGAAAGAGAGGTTTTGATGCAGGTGCTCAGCACTTCGCCTGATGACGTACGTACAGGTATTGTGTCACGTCCTACTGGAGAGACCTACACACCCTTGCAACCCCGCCCTAATGCGCCTTGCAGAATTTTGGTGGCCAGTTGTTGGGATCTTCCTGCAGCGCTCTCAAACTGTGGCATCCTGACCCCAGAGCGCGAAACGTGGTCTGAGCTCATAGAAATGTCTACAATATGGCGTGTCTGACTTGCGGGCCAGGATACTTGTGATCAGGATTAGGGTGTTTCAGAGCATACCATGGGACCATATTTTTGCGGCATCAATCGCTGAGCAATTGAGCAGCACTGACCAGTATGCGCCAGCGAACCACGCATCACGAATATGAGCAACTTTTTTACAGATTTGATTGACAAGAGGGGATGCAAGGCCACTGCACGGCGCAATGTTGCAGGAAGATGTAACAGTACCTAGCAGACATACTACGTATCTGCAACCAGAAAACCGTGAGGTTCCAAATACTTCGCAAAGAAGCATCATCAGCTCAAGTTCGCGGGGCTTTCGCATCGCTTGCTGCTGTGATGCATGGAATTCACTCGAGTAAACTTCCCGTTACACCGGTAAACCTCCAAATCGTTAAGCCCTTCGAATCCCTAAAGCATGGCCATTGAGAAATCGGTCCTCTCGTTGTCTGACATAGACAAGGGCTTTCTTGCCCTTCACGCGGAAGCTACCAGTCCTTGGGGTACGCAACTCCGAAGACAGGCTTTATTGCTTTCCTTGCCACGACAACAGGTGCGCCTGAGGGGGTTGCAGCCGCTTGTGACATGTGACTCTTGAGTTGAAATCGTCAGTCTCATGAAACGTGAATCTGGCTGTTAGCTGCCCTTCGTCACATCCGCTGTGCCCCGGTGAATGTCCAGCAACTGAAAATCTTGAAGGATGTCGACTATGATTACAAGGGTGTCGGTGATCCTCAACCATCGAATCCGTGTCTCTGAAGTGCACAAGTTGGGGCTTCCTAAGTTTAGAGTCCTTTATACGACAAGATACTCTAATACCCCCCGTTACCCCAAACGGATCCCCAAGCTCAACAATCCATCGCTGAAGCCTCAACAGCCACAAGCTGAGTCGCTCACATGCCAAGGTGAAACATAGGATGTGGCCTGACAATTTTGCAAAACATGATTACTCTTAGGATCTCTAGGGATATGTTAGGATTGAAACGAGATTTTGGGATCCCTGTTAAGGACCACGTATTTTGATGTACTTTGAGGAACTCCCGGAAATTCACAGCATTGACCCATCATAGCAAGCAGCCCCCAATAAGACACTCCAAGCCCGAGACAAGAATCTACTTGGGGTCCTGGAGTGCCCTCCAAAAGGGGCCACAGCTTGACAACTACCCTGCTTTCCACATTCTTCCTGAGCAACAATAAGCCTCATGACCGGCAGGATCAAGTTCGGCCAGGAGGACCCTGCATCCATTTCAAACCAAATCTGCTTGCCCCAGCGCCTGCCAGCAAGATGCACGAACCATTGGCCCACAAACCGGGTCTGTTATGTGCAGTACGACTTCTGCAACTGCGCAACCGACACCAGCTGGCTTGCAAGCCGCACCTCACCCTACTCGCTCAGAATGCTACACTCTGTGTAGTCCTACAGATCCGACCGCACCCCCCCCTAAACCTTCTGCGACGGAAAGGCACCAAAAAAAGGATGATTGGTTTGGATTTGTTGGTCCGCAGATGCCAACATGCTTGTGCAGACGTAAAGGCCACTCAACGCCTGTGTGCGAACGGGCAGTGGCAGGCTCATTCAATGAGGGTGCCCACCCCTGTACATCCTGCATTGCATCCGGGAGCTGCTTGCTGCTGCGCTGAGCTCGCCCCGCCCTATACTCTCAAGCAAGATTTCTTGGCTGCCGCGTACAGTATTGCTGGTCAAAGTTGCAATCATGCGCCCAAATCAAAAACCAGCCAAGATTCCGAGACTGGAATCGAGGTGAGAAGCCCACAAGCAAGCACCAGCTGCTAGGAATTGACGGTGGCGATACGAAAGCTATGCATGAAGCACCTCTGTACAAAGCGGACACACGACATTGCGGCCTGTGTTGGTGACAGCCCGAGAAACAATTCAATTTGAAGAGTGCTTGCAGATTGTAACCACATGGTGAAGCCATGGCCTTCAACACAGACATTTCACTCCGCGGGGATGTTGCAGACAAACTGGGACATCCGAGATGTGCAACATGCGGATGGAAAACAAAGCCGTTTAGTGCAGGGCATGTGCCGTACAAGGCTTTCACACAAGGCTGACGAAATTTCGTGCCTGGGCTTCGCCTCACGAATTCGGGAAATGAATCCATACTGAAACTGATAGACCAAGTTGGCCATACTGCAAGATACACTGACACACGCAGAGGATTGCGCACAAGCTCTTCGCCTCGTGCTTCCAGTTGGCGCTGCGCAGGCACAGCTGGACTCAGTCAAGGGGAAAACTGGAGGCCTGTCTCAAAAGTGCGGTCAATGTCGTGGAGAGTACCCAAGGCCTGCACAGCAGGAAGCAAAGAATGTGGATCCAATCATACCAATGATATGACAAAAAGCAAGAATGCAAAGCACATACACACCAAAATGATTCAGCGATACAGGCATTTCTTCCAAACGCCATCCTTTGGCATACCAACAAACATGTTTTGCGGTGGTCGACTCTAATACAGGACTTCTCACCAGTAGTCAACAATCACAATTATTTTAGCAACTGCAATTGGAAGCAGTGCCAGTATCTGTAGCCGTCACAGTACACTGACGAATCTGTGCTTACCCTCCCATAAAAGCTGAACCTCCCCGCGGTTTTGTTTCGCTTCTTATACAACACTTTCATGCGTCGCAGCCACTCAAATTGGTCTGACAATTACCGCAACAGGTAGAAGGGGACTGATGCAACGTATGTACCCCCTGAATATGCAGAGAGCCAACCTGCCACCTGAGCACGTCACAAAATCCTCAGCATTTTGCTGGATCCTACCCAAGTCTTAAAACAATGGTGTCCCCAATTTTCAGACAACCTTGTACACTGCCGAGGGCCCAAATCAAGACCTATGACCTTTGCCCTGACATGCTCTGACCGCCTGGAAGCTGAAAGATCCTTGCCACGGGCAGCAAGCCCAGCAGCTTCATGTGGAGATGGCTATCAGGGCCACGCCTCACACCATTACAACCCCTCCGCATCATGTAATAGGGATCCAAGGGTGACGGGGCTCAAGCGCAGTCCCTTCAAGCAGAAATCTAGTTACTAGTTGAAAACATATCACCTTTGACTTGTTTCTTTGCGAGGCCGGAGGCCTCCCGTTTTGATGTTGATCAGGTTTGTGTTTTCAAACTTCTCAAGTTGTACCTCCAAATTGGGCTGTGGGGAAGGAATGACTTTCACTTGCTAGACATGTAAGATATGACGCAAAACTGCTGGTTTGGGTGCCTTGCTGCTGTGATGCGATATATTACTGCTTGAAAAATCATACCCCAAAAACTACAGCGATCTAGAAAAACAAATCTATGAAAAAACCTTCACACAATTCTGCTCGAAGCAAACCCTGTCATCCCAACTTGTCCTCAGACCCTTGGCCTCTCAGGATATCCTCTCAGTGCACTCCTCACGCTTCACTTTAAACCTCCCTCATGGAAGCCTGATGTCCTGTTCTCTTTCCGAGTTGATTGGGAAACGGAATGGTTCCATTGAACTTTCCATATGGCTTTCATTCGGTTCTCAACCTATCCTGCGAGAACCCTTAGACCCCTCACCTTGACTCTAGACCATTTTCCCGATACCCCAGACCCGTACCCCTTACACCATAACTGTGAACCCTAAACCTTTTTTGACAAAATACTCAGAAAAAATTAGCCCTGAACCCCTAATTCGAAACCCAAAACTCTTAAACACTACAGCCCCTTGGCCTGGCAAGCGCATCGCCATCCCAAGGGCAGCCCATATCCGGGCCTGTTTGCTTTTCACCTGCTCTCTGAGTAGGGTTGAGGGTAGGGTTCGGGGATTTTGGGGTTTTAGGGCATTGGATCTTGGAGGGAAAAGGTTTAGAGCAAGACCCTTGGATGCAGGCTTAATGTTGAGCTACCATTAATATAGGGGGTGGCAATAATATATTGCTGCCGGGCCAGAAACATCCCGGAATTTGCTTCTGCTTGCACTACACGTACTACGCGCCGTGCTACCCGGTCCTACCCCAACCCCTTCGTTTAGCATTGCGACCCCCCCCCTCTCCGTAGACCAAAAACGTAAAACAAGTTCTGGGGGGGTGTATTATTGTCAGCTCGACATGAGTGGATTCAGGATATACTGTTGGAGGCTTTGGGGTATGAGGGACTTTCGCGACATTGCAGATCTCTATGAATTGTTCTGTAAAGAAAAATCCTAAAAAGGAATTGTGGCGGGGATTGCCTTGTTCCTGCAGCTCTACACCAGGATTGCCACGGCGTAACTTGTCCAAAGATTGTACCTGCTTTGGTTAGGACTGAGGAAATGGAGTCGTGCTTGGCTCATGGCATGGATGTTGAGTAGGCTCTGGGTTCGGATCACATCATGTTTCGTTTTAAGAGTAATCATCTAAGAAGCTCTGCGATGGCGAGATGATTTCTTGTTGCTCTACATGGAACCCTCCAAGTCCCTGCACAACCCACCATGGCTAAGCACTCACCCTTGAACAGAAGTCACACCTTACAAAACTGCCGGAACTCCTAGAGTTTTAGGTCTCCAGGCCTGGCCTCCCCGTAGAAAGCCATGCCAATGATCAGCCCCACCATTCCAGGGAGGCTGCCGATGATAGGAAAGGCTACGGCGAAACCGAGGTCAATGTTAGCCTTCCCGAAACTAAGGCTTCACCAACCAACAGCCAGCTTGATCAGCTAAAATGCTGACAAAACCTCACAGGTCAACAGGTGCAACAGCGGCCTGGAACCAAGCCACCTGTGCAATGGCCCAAATAACTCCAGAGGCGATCGCTGGAAGGATCATTGTGCGCGGCATATAGCGCCTCAAGGGTTACCTAGCGAAATAGGTACATTGCCGGCCAAAAGAACTGCCTAAGGAAGCCGGTCTTGGGGAGCTCCGTGGTGAAACAGTTAACAGCATCCCTTCCGTGCTCTCACAGAAACCAGAAAAGCTCAGATAGCATGTGGCTTCAGGGATGCAGCCTCTCCCGGAGCACAGCCACATAGACGACCAGCGCCGCTGAAGCGGCAGCGAAGATGCCGCAGAAATGGCTAAAGACATAGTCCATGATCTTAGACCGCTCAGTGGCTTAGTGGAGCCCAGTAGACTACGAGTAGAGTGGAGTCTTGAGAAGGTTGGGAGCTTCAGCTTCAGAGTCTTGACTGAGCAGCACGCTTCTTTGCTGTGCTGCCCGCCGAAAGTCCCTTGCATCAAGGCGGTGGGAAGGTCGAAGGTTGCGCCAAACAGCACTCCTGCAAGAACAAGGACCAGAAATCAAGCCATTCCAAAACCATCAAGGAGGACTTGCTGAGCACTGGGTTTCAGGGCTTGTGTGTGCATGCGGCACCTGCAAAAAGCGCCATGCCAAAACCAATCACGAAATCGCGAGAAGAGCTGGAGCAGGGTGCTGGGGTCGCCGCCTTGCTCTCTGAGTCTGCGCAGCCCTGCGAAGGCCAAGGACCTTTGTCCTTGGGCTGAGTAGGCTGCACCTCGATGGGTGAGGTAGAGACCTGGGTCTCGAGATCGGATTCGAGATCGACATCGGGAAAGGTTGTGCTTGCCACGGAGATTTCGGAGGCTGGTCCGTCCTCCAGAGACTCCTTCTTCCCAGCACTGGAGCCTTTCCCTTGCCAAGCTTTCTCAGCATCAGATGCACTCCGTGCATCGCAGCTAATGGCCAAAGAAAAAAAGATTAGGGATGCTGAGGCAAGGCCAAGGCCGATGCAGTTGACCAAAGGTCGTGCATGGTGTTCCTTGTGCACACCGAAGAGCCCGAACTGTCCCGTAAACCAGCCCATGATCATGTTACTCAAATCCCAGACTGTCAGCCCAAGGCCCATGCCGACAAGCTTGATAATGTAGGGGCACATCAGATTTCCACACATCCAGATAGCGCCCCCGAATGCAGCCCAGGGCTCAAACTTGGGCATCTCGAGCCCAGGGGGGCTGCTCAGGACCGTTCCTGTGGCTACACCGACAAGGAGGATGCCCACGGACATCACAGCGGAGAAGAAGATCCCATCTCGCGTGTCGATGCCTCAGGGAAATTCATGCGTCAAGCCCGAGATTCCCATGTGCGCCCCAAGACAGCGGGACCCAACAAGAGACTCTCCCCAGCCCTCCCAACCTTTCACAGGCAAATAGTTGATGCCGAAGCCAACACCCGCTATGAGACAACAGCTGTAGCCCAAAGTCCTCAGTTGGCATTCAGTGCAAAGCACGCACCCCCACGCGTGTCCGGGCTAGTCTCAAGCATGCACCCAAGTCACAAATTGCCAGCCATGTCTGTTGGGAGCCTCAGCGGTATGACAATTTTGAACTCCGCTGCAAAATAAACCATTGGGCAAGTGTGTTGCGAATTTTGTAGGCCACACGGCTCGGTCTCAAGGAAGTCTGAGACAGCAAGCTAGAAGCTCGTGCTCTCACAAGTCTTGTGTGTGTCTCTGGGCCTCATGTGCTGTGGCTGTGATGGTTGGACAGTTCCTGTTGTGTAGGAGCTCTGGAACACCTGATGTTTCCCAATGACTCCCATGTGAATTTGATCAATGCTGGCAGTCGGTGGCTCAGTCTGAGCCTGGCCTGCACGTGTTACTCTTGCGCTCTGCTCAAAAATCTCTGACACCATGCAAGGCGTCCCATCAGTCGCTAAGTCTGTTGGGGAAACACATCTGCGACACATCTGCTACACTCCAAGTGCTCAGGTTGTCAGATGACATCCTGAGCAGCTAAGTGGCAAAGCCCTTCACGCATACACATCCTGGAATAAAAGCCCAGTACCCCAAACCATGCAGATGCAATGTCCCATCAAGGCTTGCATGCAACAGGCAAATGGGTACACATGCTGCCCAAGTTGCAACAGCAATCAAGGGCCAAATCTACCTTGTGACCGTTTCGAGCCAACTCCAAGCAGCAAAGAAATCGGAAACCAGCGGTGCCAAAACGAGCATTGGACAGGCGTCTCAACAACACTTTTGTTTCCCACTTATGGGCCTGTGGCATTAACGTCAGAACTCCCCCCGCTGTGCTGAGTACCTTGACTAGGCCTGAATGTGAGCCTGGTGGTGGACCAGTGGCCGTGATAAACAGCAGTGCCCTGGCAGCAGCGGCAGCAGCGGCAGCAGCAGCAGCAGTAGCAGCAGGAGCATGAGCGGTGGCAGAAAGAGTAGTAGGGTTTGTAGGTGCGGTAGGACAGTAGGCTGGTAAAGTAGCGCCGCCAGCACAAGAACAACTAAGAGCCGAAAACAGGTTTCCCAAACCTCTGTCACGCCATTCTTCGGGGTGGAGCTGACTGAGACGTTCTAAGACATTAGGCAGTTCCGTGTGTGATCGGGTTAGCACAGGAATGAAAAAATCGTGGAAATGGTGGGTCGGCCACCCTCTGTTCTCTCTTGCAGCCTGCATTTGCCGTAGCGTTTGAGCTTTCTTGCTGCAGCCTCCATCAGCAATGCTAGCAGTAATCTTTACCCTCCTCTTTCCAGTCAAAGCAGGTCCACCGTAATTATTCCCTGGCCCAAGATGTAGCTTGAAGTTTGAAGCACCAGGCCTTGGACTCGGCTGGAGCTGGAAGGTCTGCGAGGTCAGCAAGGCAGAGCATCCACGGATTTCTGCGGTAGATACACTACTGTTTGGCTGGATTTTCGGGGGGGAAGAACATGGGTGGCAGTCTGAATGAAGCTTCTTAAACTGGAAGTACGGATCATAGCCTTAAACATCGAGCCTTCTTGAACCAGCGCGGAAAAGACCAGCATTACGATGGCATTAGACAACAGCTGTCATGACTACACAGGTCTATTGGCGTTAGCCTTCCATTAGAAGATTAATGCTTTGAAAGGTCCATGCCGTTCCTGCAGGTGGGCAGCTCCTCACACGTGTTCAAATTTCATCTCGCGCGCTTCATCCTCAAAATCACTAGCCGCAGATCGCGGAGCCCCAAGCGGAGAATTTGCCACCACCTCAACTTCGGATAGTCCGAAGGCACCAAGAAGACGTGCCTGATCCGCCTTAGCCAGCTCAGAGCTCAGAACAGACTGACACATGGGTCCAGAAAAGTAGGTACCTGCATAGATACGATAGATGCATATCAAGCCACAAACAGCAGCCGAGGTGCAGACAGAAGATAAACCCATAGTCCAGGGGCAATATGCCATGGCCATCCGGCAAAGGCACAAGCAAGTTTCTTAATGCCACACAATCATTTCCTGGTCCCTTGATGTCAGAATTCGGTAAGGTTCCCAAACAACTTGCACGTTGCGGCAAAAGGTGTTTGATACCACAGCCATGCATTTGCTGGTACTGCCGATGCAAGCATGCCTGCTTTCATGATAGTTCACTGGGCCTCCATCATTACCAACCACACCTGGCCAAAAATGCAGATATGTTGAATCAAATCAATGCCTTCTGAGAATTTCAGAAGGAATACTTTGTAGAAACTCCAAGGTCAAAGAAGCCGCAACAACTACAGGCAGATCCTGCTGGGATTGTGATTTCACCTATTTCATTTGTTTATGAACTTTCATATGTTACAGCTAAGAGCAAATTACGATCTTACACTCTACACTCATGTGGTTGGTACTTAGAACTCCCATCAGGCAAGCTGTGGATGGATACAGCATCCACCCATTTGAGCCGAGAGGACGGATCTCCAACCAACAACAACGAGCTCAACATTCAAAACGTCTCATGCCGGACAGGGATGCTAGTCTTTTCAACAGCAGCAGCTACTGAAACAAGAACCCACATTTTAAGCTTGCTTCTGGATTGCCTTCCTAGTATGTTGCCACGCACTGACACGGCCTGCAAGCCACGATCCGCCGGTTGCAAAGCTTGCGGGAAAATGTCGTGGGGTTGACCTCGCAACTGCTGAATGGACGGCCATCGACAATGACAATCTATCGTAGCTGGACAGAAACATGGTCGAAGCTCTTTAGATGGAAGCCCTCGCAAGAAAAGATGCGCTCACCCCCTTCAGCTTTAAATCTACCGCGAAAGTTGTTCCATCCTCCCATGTAAGGATCTGGAGCATTCAAGCATTCACTTAAATTCAGCGATGAGATCATGACCGTTTCACATCACTCCCGCTCATGTAGATGATGACATTTATTTCAAGCAGGTCCAAGATGAAGTGCAAGAAGCCAGCGGCTTGTCTTGGCGGCACACGCCATCAAACACAATCTTGTCATTCGACGCCTGCACGTCCGCAATCCTGACGTCAACATCGGCAATACTAGCAGCAATTTGTCCAGAACCGACACCCCGTCCAAGGACCATGTTTGCACACTGCTCATGAAAAAGCGAACATGATCAACCTGCTACAACGATGGTAAAAAAATGCCACCTCTTCCCGCAAAGCCAGCGCTGCGCCAAACGCCGCGAGAATTCGCACTCCGGCAACTCCGGCCTGCATGTCAACATAAAAAAACCATCGCTTTGTGCAAATGACAAACTCATGTGCATGCCGGTGTATGAATGCAACCAACTGGGGCCCTAGCATGTGAGAGTTCACGAAGAAGTCAATGTTGGTTTGAAAATCGATTAAATGTCAACGTGCTCTTGCCAGACAATGCTGCGCTGCAGAATTGCAGCGTCCTGCTGCCCAAGCAGGAACTTCTTCCTACAGTGGTTGTCGGAGTCTTGAGTCATCGCAAAGCTGGATTGAAAAGCAATTGCGCATCAGAATCTAAGACATCATGTCCTAACAATGATCAAGAATGTTTTTGGGGTACATCCAGAGTGATTTCTTTTGCAAAGTAGGCTGCTTGAAAGAGCACGATGATCTTGCAGCAATTTCGGAATGGTTTTAGAATGCTCTCGGAAGCCCGACCTCAGCTTGAACTACAAACTAAGTACTAGTGAGATGTTGCTAAAACATACTTGCGGAATTGGTGATTGATGTCCCACTGATGAAACTGTTGTGTTGCGCGTGTCGTGGCCTAAAGCCATGGATGGGCGATGGGCCAAGGAATGGGACTGCTTTCCACGAATCAAACGCGGCAGTTCCAAATGGAATTGCAAAACGCTTGCGTCGACATGCAGGTGCATTTTTTGGTCAAGTGCTGCCACGAGTGCGGTAATGCTCGGGCTTCGGAATCCTGCTAAGAATCACGGTAGGCTATATGCCGCTAATTCCCGGGATGGCTAAAACAAGTATATATGCAATACAATATGACCTGCGTCAGCATATTCCTATAGACACAACAAACAACATACAGATTATATGTTCAAATACCAAACAGGGATTTGGGATATCCCGTGAACCCACATACAGTATACTTATAAGAACTGCTGGCCTGCACATATTGGAAATCAGCAAATATCATTTTTGTCATGTTTTTGTCATTTCGCTGTCGTTGGTGGCTGTCATGTTTCTGTCATTTCTGTGTCATCCTTCTACCCCACCTGATTTTCCTTGTCATGTTTTGGGCATCCGCGATCCACGTTGGATTTCAATAAACTCACATCTTCTGGGTTTCCCACTTCCAAGTGAGCTTAGGGCTGAAGGCCAATGGCAGGCACCAGTAGGGGTAGTGGCGCTGGCTATCATACAGTTCTTATTCCCACAGCTACCGGCTACTAGTCCACTACCATTGGCAGTACGATTGTTATCATTAATTATGAAAAAACCCACAACAACCACTGCTACTAATAATGTACTGATGCTAGTGTAACAGTAATAGTAGTAGTAGTAGTAGTAGTAATAATAATAATAGTAATAGTAGCAGTAGTAGTAGTAGTAGTAGCAGCAGCAGCAGCAGTAGCAGTAGCAATAGCAGTAGCAGTAGAAGCAGCAGCTCAGCGTAGTCATTCTTGGGGTCATTCCGTCCCCACCAAAAACCATACCACAAACCTGAACCCATTTACTAAATCCCCAAGGATCCTCCAAGAAATGACTGGAAAATGACGGGGCGCAAGACACACGACTGGAAAATGACTGGAAAATGACTGGAA